TTTTTTGTGCATCCATCTGTGCGTCCATCCGTCCATTTGTGCGTCCGTTCGTGCACCTATCCGTTCATCCATCCACCAGTATGTGCGTCCGTCTGTGCGTTCGTTCGTCCATCCATCCTTCCGCGTGTCCATTCGTGCGTCCATTCGTCCATGCGTCCATCCATGCGTCCGTCCGTCCATCCACCCAACCGTCCGTGCAACTGTCTGTCCATCCATTTATCCGCGCGTCGGTCCATTCTTCTATCTATCTACTGAACACTCCAAGTACTGCCATCTCACGTGTTTTCATTATATATATACCATATAGAAGTATCGCCATCCGGTGAACATTCTAAGGACTAAATGAGAGTTGACACGGCCGGACTATAGGAGCAGCACGAGCACACCCTCTTGCGGCCTTCGCTTACGCCACCGTGAAGGATGGCATGACGGCGAGATCGGCACACAGTGATGTGGCGGGTATTGCCGAGCAAGAGAAACTGATTTACGGCTCGGTGGCTTTTGACCATCTCGAAGTGTCAACCTATTTGAACAATGATAGTGATGGCTGTGACGTTTTCTTTGATGAGCAAACTAAAAGCGTCATCCACGATTTCTTTAAGCAATGTCTCCTCTATTTCAACAATGCCAGCCAGATGCACCTGATCCAGCTGTTCACCACCCTCTACTCTAGTATTTTCCTGCTCTCTCCCATCTTCTAGCCTTCACGTGTGCGTTGTGGTCATGGGGCACAGAGCATAGGGAGCCTACATGACCACTTGTTTTAGGGTGGAGACATCTCAAAAAGTGCCCTGAAAGAACTCAGCCAGGCGGTCATGTAAGATTTCTAAGAGAGCCTCTCATGCAGTGCCTCCTGACGCAAATCATATGAAGAAATTCTTGTTCAGTTCTGTACAGAGCCGTGGGGCGGCGTCTTGCATTCTTCGTGTTGAAAATACTGGCGGTCACGCTTGCTCTGTGAAAGATACGGTGTTATGAGATAGCATGTCGCCGTTCGTACTGCTACGCGGGCAACCAATGGGGAAGCGTCACTGCAACCTTCTGGATGCACTGCTAAGTTAGGCGGCGGCGGCATTGTTTGGACCCAGAAATAAGCAACACGAAAGAACAAATATGATAGACATATGATATTGGAGTGGGAAACACGTCTATCGCATCTACGGGAAAAGCACTCGGAAGACAATGACGCAAGCAGCGCTACACATCATGTAGCGTCACACCACGACTAAGGTGGACCGACGACTCCCACTGAGAAGCGCGCGTTCGCACTGGCATTGGAATAAATAAAGGAGGCGTTGCTTTAAGTATGCGGCCTACCGTTTCAAGATTCTAGTCATTCGGTCTTGCGCGTGCCGGCAAACTTTGAGCACTTCCTATAGGCACCGCACACTAACCAGAGGGAGCTGCGTTGTTCACACTGCCCCGTCTCAAAGTTTCTGACACTCGACTAACACTATTCAGTATAAGCGGTAGTAAACATCATTCGGGCACCTTTCGCTCGGCCATTTGGCGCCTCGGCCATTTCCCAATGACGTCGCGAATTGTCTTTTTAAATGTCACCTAATAGAAAACTGTTTCATGAGCATGGATAGAGCAGTATTGGGTTCCACCCCGAGAATATTATAATGGCGAGCTTTCGATTCATTCGTTCCATTAGAATGCACAGGCTGGCACGTGCATACATGTAGATGCAGTGTTGGTGTCAAGTTCATGTTGCGGGGAGGATGTCTTAGGATTACGGAGGCGGTGGCAGTATGGTACTACGCATGGTAGTTGGCGCCGCACGTGCAGATGTTGACAAGGGGTTTGTGTTGATGGCACAAAGTGCTTGGCCTGTACCGAAGTATTTACGCAAATGGCAGAGCAGTTTCGCAGGGTACTATCTACAAGTATATCCACAATAGTAGTCGTAACGCTATCGGAACGTTGTCGTAACGCTGTCAGAACGTTGACCAGTTCAGCTTACAGACCTGTTACAAAATGGGCTTTTGGCCTTCTTCATCGGCTACACGCGCACATTGCTCAAGCGACCTTGTGCAATATGCGTAGTCTGGACATTTCTGCTCTTGAATTTGTTGATATACATCTAAGCTGAAACTGCGTCTATAAATGTAAATGTCACATTCATGTTATCACTCATTACCATGAAACAGGCATGCATTATACTTTTTTTCTTCACTTTAATTCATTTCATGTTATGTCATAAACACCAATCATCAGATGAATATTAAAAATAATCTTCCCATATAGTTTCTTGGGCCTGATTATCTGTTGTAGTTTCTTGGGCCTGATTATCATTTCCTGCAAAGTTCATTTCCTGCAAAGGAAATGAAGACTGCGCACGCAGGCTATAGTGCTGAGCTTGCACACACATGCAAAATGAGCGTGTCCGACCACCAAAAATTAATCGTTAGCCCACTCAGTTCCCGAGGCTGTTGCATTCCAACCTTTTCTTCCGAAGACATGCGCTTTCAATAAACAAAACTCTCCCTTTTATTCATCGACTACGATCGACATACAGGCGCTTAAGTTACGTACAGTAAGTGAAATTCTGAACCACGAATTTCGATCTCTATCCGCGATCACCAGGTTCCACAAGAGTGCATCACACAAATGTACACACGACTGTATACTATAGATGTACTGGGACAGGAAAATTAGCACTGATTCATATTTTAACTATGCATCCAATTCGTCGATGCGGAGCGCTTTCGCGCAGCTGTTAGAACGGCAACGCGTATGCGCACCTTTGTGTACCCGGCTGTATAACAACGCGCCGCTTTATGAAGTCAAGCGCGCACTTAACGTCGCGTGCCTCGACGTCGTAAACTCTGCAACCAGGCTTTTATCGGCAAATGTGCATTATTGGCCGCCTAAACAAACGACGAAATCACACAAAATAGGCAAACGTGGAAAGCCATGGGATAAAGTAACAGCACAAACAATAATAAGAAAGAATGTTGAGTTGTTCAGTCGGCAAAATTGCATGATAAGAAATGTAAGCACGTAAGAATGGTCCACTTTACGTCCATCATTTTGTCGCTATGTGGTTTTTAAGTTCGCACTATTAATTAGTGAACGAGGAGCGTGTCTTAGTATAAAAAAGGAGACTCTTAAACAAACCGTGCAAAGTTTAAAATCAGTCAAGCTGGTTTATCTAGACATAGAGTTTCGTAAAGTTAACTAGAGGGGACTGTGGAGCTGCGATCATTCAGCCATCATAGAAATTATGAATATTACTCAAATTTGCCTTCTTCGTGCTTGTGGACTTCAAATGTACTTGTGATTTTGTTTATCACACTGTTTTAGTTTTGATTCAAATAAAAGAACGGACTCTTGTGAAATTCTTGATACGATTTGAATTGAAGAGCATGTAAGTGCTTCACATTTTCTGATTGTCCTTTAGTCACAAAGCAGCTCCAAGAAACGCGAAGCCAAATGGAGCCTAAAGTACGACGGTTAGACACATTCGCTTGCTCCCCATCATTACCATGCTGGCTAAAATACTGTGAATTGCAGCTCCCATAGACACTAGCACCAGGGTTATCTCTAGTGTTTTTACAGGAAACTCTATAGATCTAGGGGCCCAAAGGAGCCTTCTTGGCGGCTCCAATGCCATGGTCCCTCTTCAGCGTAGACAAAGTAGAGTCGAACTACAGCCTGCCACAAACCATGCAAGAATAAGCAACCTCCATCGCCAGAACTAACGTACAAAACTGGTTGTGGTACCCTCGGTAGAAGCGCCAGCCTTGCGTCACCTCCACTCGGTTGGCGCGGCGGGACAACTCGGCGCGGTAGCTGCTCGGACAGTCTCCGTCGGTGGACGCCGCTCCGCCGGTGGACATGTTAAGCACTGGTGCAGAAGGTCCATAGCGGACACCCGATGTTTTACCTTGAGCTTCGTTCTTAAAATGACCCCGAAAAGCTTTCATGCGCGTTTTGGAAGTGCGCATTTAGTGATACTACCAAAGCACATAAGAAACTGCGTTGAAAAATTAACACCGGAAGTGGCTGGTCTAGATTTTGTAACATCATTAAAAAAGTGCAAAACACTGCTGATGGTGTAGTGAATCTCTAACCAAAAAAGCGCACTCTTATAGGGGCGAAACTCCTTACCTCGTGAACTGTGTGTACCGTGCATTTAATATGCAGTAGTGCGCGTTTAGTGCTTACAATGTCCGCTGGATGGCGGTACTTGCATAAGACGAATATAAGATGAAAAGATGCGAGATGGCGCTACTTTGATGCAGGCTTCTTGGAGTGTTCTCTAGATGGGCGGACGGACGGATGGATGAACGCATAGACGGACAGACAGACATACGACGCGCGGACGGACAAATGGACAAACAGGCGGACGAACGGATGGACGGATGGATGGACACATGGACAGACGGACGCACGGACGGTCACACAGATAGACGGAGACATGAACGGTCATACGGACGGGTGCATGGACGGACGCATGAATGGACGGAAGCAAGAACGTACGAACAGACGGAAGCAAGGCTGGACTGATGGACGCTTCGCCCCACTCACCATCATTCACTCCGTGGATATGCTGTGATTTTTTTCTTGGAATTCGCAATTTTCAGATGCCCGGATGCAAAATGACATGTTGCGAGAATCTCTGGAGAGCACTTCTACTAGAGCGGTGAAATTTCACATCTGGTAGACAACAGCTAGTCGTGCGAAATCTGTCTACTTTATATCCGTATTTCGCGCTCACTAGACCATGTTCACCAACTCCCCAGAGTGCTCCCACGGTGTATTCCTACGTTTTCATCGTCTCCAAAGCGCCCCATTACGAACGGTCGTCTTGGGACGAACAGCGTGCGCTTGTGCAGTGGCGTCCTCTGGTGGTGGAAGCCGAACTATTGCAGCGCCGCCGTGCCGTGCCCGAGAGCGAAAGAGGCAGGGCTGCGAGAGTGAGAGGAAAATCCGGTCGAAGGCGCGCTTTGCAGGGCAGGGCTTCGCTTCCACTTGTTGACGGGTGGCCGCCGGCACGAGATGTGGCCCTTCCTGGATCTCGCTGCTTCGACCTCGCCGCCGTCTCCTTCGACGACGCTCATCGGCCCCGGAGCGGTGACGCCTCAGCTGCCTCAAACATCCTCTCCGCTACAAACTGCGCTCCGTTTTCACTGATGAGATAAACACAACTACGCACAACTCTCTGAATAATTTTCCCCCCACTGCTGTGCTCGTACGTGTGTGCGTGAAGTTCTTGCTTCTTTCTGAGAGTTTCGATTTTGAATTCTCGCCGCGCCGCAAGAAAACAGTGCGCGCGTGGTCAACGCTCTCAGCTGTGTGTGCGGATTGTGGATGAAAACACTTTTTCTTTTTTTTTCGCTGAAGCGGGTGCTAGTTACAGCGTGTTCGCGCCTATATATTTTTGTTCATCGTGCTCCGGTACTACGCACTGGATACCGCCGAAATGAGTGATACGAGACAACACGGCCTCGCCTGGATTCTGCGCTCCGTCCTTTGTGTCCTTCTGCTGCGCGGACCTCGGCCTGGGATAGCATACGAAGGTGAGCACAGCACTTGTCAAGTTGTCGCGTCTTTCATAAGTGACCACTTCCGTAAGTTTCCTTTGAGGGAGAAAGGACATGGAGTTCTTCGTTTGCTTTAGAAGGCTTTGAACTATATACTCACCCGATGAGTAAAGCGCTGAGACCATTTGTATTAAGCAGTTGACGAGAATTTCATTTTCCTGTAATTCTTACACTCCTTCATTCTCTCTGGTACTATCTTTTTCGTACACTGCGGCTTCATCCTCCCTGTGACGCGATGATCGCTTCCGAAAATTGCATACGTATTGTTTTCACTTCAACCATGGGGCATGAATAGAAATATATATCTTCCAATATTACAGGAAAAGACAATGGAGGAGACTAACACCTCAGCTAAAGTCGTTTTTTATTACATGATAATTTAAAGGTGATGGCAATTTTGTATTGCACCATCTACTTCTTTTCGCATATGATATCTTAATAAGAAAAGCAAGGCAAGAAAAATAATTTTGCGAAGAAAAGCTAAGCTATCATTTCGGTAAACTTTGACCGGGCTCACAATGCTAGCTAGCTTACCCCAACAAACTAAACGAGTTTTAATAATTCTGCGTTCCTCTAAAAGCGGCGTTAAGTCTGTATTACGCAGATACGAGCAAATAAATAAAATTCTGGCTCTGCTACCGTCACTGGAGGGAGTACTGTTGCTACAACTAGCAAAAATATTTGATGAATTTTTTAATATTGATAGATTATGTATGCTCCAACAAAGCTGGTGGCCTAAATTAGATCTTTCATTTTTTTCACAGGTGGCAAGGAAAGAGGGAGGGAAGGGTTGGGTACAGGCTTTAATTTTGGAAAAGCCATCAATGCCCCCCACTCCCATTCTCCTAGCGCAGCCCCTGCTTTCATAGTGACGAGTACGGTGCTTATCTATAATTATACAATGGGTCATCTGCGAAGCTGAAATAACATAGAACGACGTCGAACAGTTTTTGTCTGATATGTGCATTTAAATTACTCTTACAAGAAATGACGCCTTTTTTTCCAGTTTTGGATCTAATTCCTTAAAGAACAGTAGGTATCGAATTATTTATAAGCACGACGTTTAAAAAGAGGCTCATGTAGCTAGCAGTCTGGGCGCACAATACGTTGGTTCCAATTTGGAAGTTTTCTGTTGAAAAAGTAATATGTATAATTGCTGCAAAGCGACAGAAGAAATGTTTCAGCGTTTCGAGAAGCAGTATGGGTCTTCGTAACGCGTTTATGGAACATACCAAAAATAAGATTTAGAAGCTTTGTGATACAGTACCGCGGGATATAAAAAATAAATAAATACTAGTAGTTAACTACAAGCTCCAAGTCGATGTTCAGCATGGATGTTCAAGTGCAAACTTGAATAACATTTCATGAGACTGACCCAGCTTAGCAGCGCTGCCCGCATCTGCAAGTAATTCAAGGTTTATATGTGTTGCTAGCATTACTAATAACATAAATAATTGTTGGGGTTCGACGTCTCTAAACCACCAAATGCTCATGAGAGGGGCAGTAGTGGAGTACTTCAGAAATTTCTACCACCACTGCGGTTTTTACCGTGCTCCTGAATCTAAGCACACGGGCCGCAAGTATTCTCACCTCCATCGAAAATGCGGACTCTGCTGCCGGGATTGGATCCTGCGTCTTCCGGATCAGCGGCTCAGTGTATTAGCCACTAGACTACCGTGACGGGTATTTCCAGCTTTACAACTGTACAGAAAGAATGCTTACTGTGGTGTTGGCCATGGCGTTAATTGCTTTTGTCCTTAATATTTCCTTAAGCCTTCTTACTGAGCAATGATCACATCTGTATAAACACCTTGTTTTCTCGGCAATATAGTACAGACACATACGGAAGACTTTACTTCTTTTTTGTGCACTGACTATACTCACAGACACCATGGCATCACGGCAAGAGCTTGTGTATGTTACACAAGAAAATATTTACACATTTTGTTTATTATTGAGTAAGTGTTCTAGATAATTTGAAAAAAAAATATGTTGCTGTAATTTCGCGGAAGGTTTTTGTACAGCAAGCTCGAAGTTCGGTGCTATCTGATTAGAAAAAGTGGTAACGATTTTGAGTACTAGGTACTTTACTATGGGAGAGCTATATAAATCTAAGCGAAAAAAAAATTGACTGAATTTGACACAAACGGAAAAGGAAAATTCCAGCCTCCTAAGTTACGCAACGGTCTCGGCGCTGGCTCAGGCTGAATGACCGCGGACCGCATTTTAAAACGGCTGCCTGATTTTCGTAATCCCGATTGCGGTTACGTTCCGCACATGTTCACCGCAGAGCAAGCGCAATCATTGTATCATTACTAGAGTCTTGGTTTTTTCCACGAGTGAAGCAAGGTCAGCAATCAGCTTTGCACGCTGTGTTTTTTTTTATATAGGGAATTGGTTCTTTTTAAAGAGCGATTGTTGACGCAAAAAGCAATTCGACACCTCAGTTTTTGTCCATACTACATAATAGACAAAAATGGAACAAGACAAATGAACATATAGGGGAAATAAACTAAAATCGAGTGATAGTCAAACAATAGTAATGCTGAATCTGAAACCACAGACAATAGGCTCAACAAGTGGACGCATGCGAGTGCTAATATTAAAAAAATGGTCTAATTAGGCTCTAAGATTCATGCACTTGCATGCATGAACCGATATTTTACGAAGCTCGCGAATATTACTACGCGCATACGCAGGATATATAACGGTTTCAAAGTGTGTCGTAAATGTGAAGGCCTTCTTTTTAACAGCATACCGGTATCAACCTCCACGTTTTTTGAAATTGCACCACCGTCATCAATGTGAAAAGAAACACTCGAGCCTGTCTCCTACCTTCTCTCCCTCTCCCAATAAAAATCGCAATTTCGGCTACATCCCTGCCGGAAAGTAAAGCTTTCGTAGAACTTCGAACAGAACACACACTGCTTCATTAGCAGCCGTGGCTTATGAAACAGAATCTAAGTGTTTTATTTCACATTTGATGATTAGTGTGTACTTTCAGCCATGAAACGCCAGGTCACTGAGGATGTGACATGCCATCGTGGAGTCACAGAGACATGTATACAGGACGCGAAGAAGCAGGAGCAGACGATAAGCAAAACCCGATTCGCAGAGAGGGGCTGAAGCTGACAGAGCCCATTCGACTTCCACCAGGCATGCTCGCTTTAATAGACCCACTATACCTATATATGGCTGCCAATTGGCCACGACGACTTCCCCTGCAAAGAAAATGGTGCGGGGAAGCAAACCACACGACGCGCTATACTATACGGTACGCACCGTGTCGATTGGCAGGCCTCAAACAAAAGAGGGCTTCTTCGAGCACCCGCCGTTCCCGTTCGGGAAACGGGCTTTTTTTCTTCTTTCTTCGAGTGGTGCCGCCGTCACTGCCACCAGTCACGTCAGGGGCAACCCATTACAAGGCGCGGACGTGCGTGGCGCGTTTCCCTCACGAGCCGTGCTCGCTTCGCTGGCTTTTCTGGGGAGTCTCTGTCGCAATGTCCTACAGCTTTGACGGTTTTATTCGCGTGTTTTTTTCCCTTTACATTACGCCGTGTTACTCGCGTTGCAAATTATTCTTTTGTATGCGCGTCGCACCGCTGAATAGCGTCAAGAGTGACGCCGCGGTTTTACTACGCGCGGCTACCGGCGATGCTCGCCGCGGACGACGCACGAGCGCTCAGATTGCTCGCGGCTGACTCTGTGGTGCGAGCCTATACACACCGGTCGTATAAACGGGGGCGCGTCGGGCCGATAAGAGAAAACGTCGAAATAGTTTTGCTGGCACGCCCGGCGAGTCAAGACCAGCGCGAAAGCCCGTATATATTACCCGGGTGGGCGGCGTCCCGAAGGATTAATTGCAGTTTGCGAATGGTCGTATCTGCGAAAGCGTCGTCGTTTATCCGCGGAATTAAAATGGCATTGTGTCACCGGTGCCGCGTAACGGCGATGTTAGGTAACTGTGCGTGGAGTTGAAACCAACGTCGACCCTTAATGTTCAGACAACGCAATACTCATTCTAACTATTATTCTTTTGAAGCCAAGCTGTATGGGGCTAGGAAGTGGGAACACATGGTTCGTGAGTGAGTAGAGCTGTAGCGAAAAACGAGTGCTAATAAACATACGCAACCTGACGAGTCTCCGATCTCTGACCAGCTTCTTTTCAGGTTTTGACGGGGTATGCCTGTATATTGTATATCGTTGTTGTATCGTGTATTCGTATGATTGCTAGTATAACCAAGTTGTAATATTTTCTCGATCCTCTACCTGAGGAAAAAGAAATTATGCGAAATTTTTAAGAATTTATGCCATCCTAGTTTTCGCGTAAATATTCACTTGTATCTTGTTCACCATGCATTAATTGCTCGTGCCCAGTACTTTATAAATTGATAAATGTATTAATACGTGTGGCACCCGCCGCTGCGAGAACTTCTGCCCGTGAATTACTTTAGGCACTTCTTAATATTCTTTAAGCTAACGCATCCAAACGCAAGTTTTGAAGCACACATATCTAAAATCGTGGAATACAGCAGTCACAACCTACTATATATAAGTAACGCACTTCGATATTTCCGAACTCGAGATAAATAATTTCGGTTTGCCTTGTAAACCATTTGTATAGAGTGTGTCATTCAGTGCTTTTTTCTTATATATATGCAATTTGAAGCAACGGGCTGGTCATCTCAAAGTATAGAATAACTCTTCGATCTCGTACAGTCAACTTTTATTGAAGCTGTAATAGGAAAACTATTGGGCAACTCAAAAAGGGACCCGTGGTGCGCTGTCGGTGACATAAAGCGCGCTCTGACTGTGGGGGATAGCGACCGCGCCAAAACTTTCGCCCCTTATGCGCACGGTTTCAATTCTACTCACGTATACAAACGTCAGAAGCAATCCTTCGCACTACGGTTTGGCACGGTTAAGCTAGCCTTGTGCAGTCGAGAAGGTCTGCGAGTAGCCCACTCGGCTCAGTA